CTCAATCTCCCTCCCTCCCTCCCTCCCTCCCTCCCTTTCTTGTGGTTAGAGTGCAGGCCAACTCTACCTATTGCCAATAGTTCGAATCTCATCAGGCTCAAGGTTGACTCAGCCTTCCCTCCTTCCGAGATGGTTAAAATGAGGACCCAGATTGTTAGGGGCAATAGGCTTACTTTGTAAACTGCTTAGAGAGGGTTGGAAAGCCCTGTGAAGTGGTATATAAGTCTAAGTGCTATTGCTAAATGAAAATACAGATAGTCCTTGACTGACAACATTTAGTGACCATCCAAAGTTACAACGGCACTGAAAAAAGTAACTGAGAACCATTCTTCATACTTATGACCGTTGCAGCATGCCCCTGGTCCTATGATTTACACTCAAGTGCTTGGCAACTGACGGTTGCAGTGTCCCAGGGTCATGGGATCCCCTTTTGCAACCTTCTGACAAGCGAAGTCAACGGGGAAATCAGATTCACTTAACAACTGCATTACTAATATAACAACTATGGCAATCCACTTAACAGCTGTGGCAAGACAAGTAAAATGTGGCAAAATTCACTGAACAACTGTCTTGCTTAGCAGGGGAAATCTGGTGCTCAATTGTGTTTGTAAGTCGAGGACTACCTGCAGTATTTCTCTCCTTTCTGGACCCTACCAGCTCCAATTCTGCAGTTGATCTCCTTTCCTTTTCTCCTTGTAGGAAACTCTATCACGATTCCACCACAAAGATCCACATCAATCTCCTGGGCGCCCTTTTCTTTCTCAACGTGTCATTCTTGATCAGCAAGACTTTGGTTGACCATCCGCCGTGGTGCAGCATCCTGGCTGCCTTCCTCCACTACTCCTTGCTCTGCAGTTTGACCTGGATGGCCATCGAGGGCTTCCACCTCTACTTGCTGGTGATCAGAGTCTACAACTCCTACATCAGCCGTTACCTGCTGAAGCTGTGTGCTGTGGGGTGGGGTAAGGATTTGTAGGCTGCCCGCATTGGGAAAACACATCAGCGTGAAGTCACCTTCTGAATTCCTTTGACTCTTGCTCGCTTTCCAAAGCAAGAAACGCAGCTTGTGCATCTGGTTGAAAAATTAGTTGCCCTGAACTTCTCCAGTGGGAGAAAGAAGTCACATCTGAATAGTAGAAAGGCGGCATTAACAAGGACAATAGTTTGACTTTTGTCTTTCCTATCTTTCTTTCTATCTGTCTTTCCTATCTATCTATCTATCTATCTATCTATCCATCCATCCATCCATCCATCCATCTATCTATCTATCTATCTATCTATCTATCCATCCATCCATCCATCCATCCATCTATCTATCTATCTATCTATCTATCTATCCATATCTATCTA